TGAGCTTAAATGCATTTAATCTTCACACAGTTAAAGTTTTGACTAGACTTATTCTTGCTATAGAGTGATACCAAGCTCATTTCACAGAATGTATTTTTCATTAAATGTATCATCTGGTATTGATATTTTCATTCTTTCCCAAAGTAGGCTAATGCTCTTCACGGTCATTATTTCTCCTTATATACAGAACCACCTTCTAGGAAAAGAGATAGCAAGTGATATTTGACAAACACCCAATATGATCTTTGATCTAGAAGGATTTTCTTAAGAAGGAAGAAATTATATTTGATGAGACTATTAAAGGAACAGTGTCTCATTTTGGTATTGATTGTGTACAAAGACTTTTCATAGGTCTTAAAATCTAGGAGAACATTAAAATAGCTACAACTACAGCTTATGTCTGCCATGCAGCTAGGACTCCTCTGTTTATTGCACAATTACTGCTTGAAAATTTTACTTGAATTTAGTCTTTAAGTAGAAGCTTATGTGATACAAGAATATTTATATATATATATGCATATATATGTATGTGTGTGTGGTCCATCTAAAGGAGGACTACATATTATATCCAATAGCTGGTTGCCAAAGTCAGTAAAGTTCCAATTTAGGATGGAAGATACTGTTTTGCAGGTAAGAATGCAACACATCTAAGCATCACATTGCAGAAAGTCAGAGCCCTGCGTGTGCAAGTGTCAGGACTAAATGAGTAGGACAGTTTCCTGGTAGAGTGAAATAGTTTTCATTGAACTCCATGCAGGGGGGTTGGAACTGGATGATCTTAAGATCCTTTCCAACCCTAACTGTTCTATGATTCTGTAATTCATGCCATAATAAAATGGCTGTTTAAAGCTAGTATGTGGATATACTGCAAGGAAGACACATAACACGATAACGTTATAAATAGGGTGAAATTGCTTTCACAGAACTTCAGAAACACAGAAGTTTGATGTTTAAGTTTCAGCTGGTTACCTTCAGCTACCATTGTAGTCAAGAGGGGAGACTCAGGACTGTGACAGAGGCTTGCTTTCATATGACCAACTTAGAATAAAATGAAGAAAATCTGCTTCTATAAAAAATCAGGGTAGAGGGGATGCTTTAGGAGACCAGCTGGGGGTTATGATCTAATTCTAAAAAGATTGCGCTAAGATACATGACTACAGTTTTGGCTGTTTTGCCTTTTATACACTTTCAAAAATTAGTTCTTGTCATTATCTTATTAAAATAGTTTATGCATACATAAGAAGTGACTTGAAATTTTATTCATAACCATTGTAAACTGCTTTTTCTTTTCTTTCAGTACATCAAGTTCTGATGTTTGGGCTTTCTTTGTGTTTATTTGTGCATTTCTACTTGAAGTTGATACTACACATAAAATTTTGCAAATGGTTTCTCTTACTGTAACGCCAGATGTCATCAGCCATGCCTTACACTTCGGTAATTGGTTGGACATTTGACAAAAAGATAAAACATATCTGCTGATATTTATAAAATATATTTTATAAATTAGATTAAAGCTATGGGGACACTTATTCATGGTTTTGGAACAGGCTTGAGAAGATACATATTTGGCAAGCTTCAGGGTAATATGAGAAGAGGAAATCATATACTGTTATCTTGTTCTTTCCCTTTCCTAGTTCTGTGTTATCCAGGAGATGAGGCTCTTGTTACCAACTGAAACTACTATTATGTGAAATTTAGTTACTGTTTTGTTTTAAAACCAAGCTGTAGTTATGTAGGATGGATTTTTATTTCTTTTTTTTTCCATTTCATGCTAATAATATTTGTGTGTGAGGTTCTAAACTGAGCAAAGCTTTAATTTATGCACTCATTTTGGAAAACAGAGTACTTTGTTTACATCAAATAAAACACTTGCATGTAAGACTAGAAAATTAGATATTGCACAGCGGGTCTTCATCACTAATCTAACTTTAAAATATCTCAATCAGAAATTGTCTTTGGATATGTGGATATTTCTCAGGCATTATACAGCCATGGAAAAAATACTTAACTGGTACTGGGAGCAAAGCAGAGTTAGGGCTCTTCTGTCCTAGACTTCTGTTTCCTCCTTGCTCCAGGCATCTATGCCGAAGAAAATTGTTAATGTTTGATACATCAAAGTTGCATGACACATCACATTTATATGTCACATTAAGATAATTCTCAAAGCACTAGATAGAGAACCATAGCTGTTTTAGTCACAGCAAATTTTGCATTGCTTGTTTATCTTTCAACAAGCAAGATGGAGAATGCTAAACTAGCCAGGTGCTTGTGATCACAGCACTCATTTAGGAGGTGGGATGTGTGGGTTGCTTTTCCTCAGGGTTGTGGGATGTTGGTTTATAAGCTCAACATAAGGTTGCAATATGTGCTTGTAGCTGGGAAAGCCATGTCTTGGATTGCATGAGAAAGAGTACGACCAGGAGGTTGAGGGAGGTGATTCTTCCTCTACTCTGTTCTCATGAGATCCCACCTGGAGTACTGCGTTCACCTCTGGGGCCCCCAGCATAAGAAGAATATGGACCTCTTGGAGGGAGTACAAGGGAGGCCATGAAGCTGGAGTACCTCTCCTATGAAGACAGGCCAAGAGAGTGTGGCTTCAGCCTGGAGAAGCAAAGGCTCTGGTAGACCTTAGAGCAGCTTCTAGTACCTAAGGGGGCTACAAGAAAGCTGGAGATGGACTTTCTAACAAGGACTTGTAGTGATAGGGTAATGGCTTTGAACTGGAAGAGGGTCGATTTAGATTAGATATTAGGAAGAAATTTTGCACTACAAGAGTGGGGAGACACTGGAATAGGACTCCCAGAGTAACTGTGGCTGCCCTGTTCCTGGAAACATTGAAGACCAGGTTAGATGGGGTTTTAAGCAACCTGGTTAGTGAAAGATGTCTCTGCTTTGGCAGGGGGTTGGAACTAGATGATCTTTAAAGTTCCTTCCCTTTCAACCCAAACCCTTCTACAAGTCTATGATGTGAACTTGTTGATCCAGCACCATCCCTAAATAATTACTCTAACTTTTTGTCACAATTAAATACTTATAGGATTTCCATGATACTGCAGGTTTTATGTATGTTTAATCATTGTCAGTGTTTTCTTATTGATGCTAATCCAGAACTAAACATGAACGTATGAGAAGTTACATGCATACATACAGATATATATTTAAACAAATATGTGTGCATGTGTATACAGTTATGTGTTAAAAGTTTCATAATAGATTTAGTATTATTTTCTACATCATTTTGTTTGTAGCTATGCAATTACTCACAATTCCTTGAACAACCATTAAGCATTAATCAGAAGTTTTTGGTGCTCTCATTACAACAGATGGATCTTCTTGGAATAAAAATAACTTAGACATGTGGAAGGTATGTGAATCCCCCAAAGATTTATTTCACTGAATTTTGGTTTTACTATATAAGCAGTGAATTTTCTCAGAAAGAAACTTACACTTTCTATATTCTATGTTCCTTTAAAGTCCCCAACATTACCCTTAGCTTTAATTAACCCAAGTGTGGTTATTGCCTCCTTGTCTCTCATTCCTTTTCCCCTAAGATATATAATGAACCTTAAATTAATTCTAATACAAAGAACATTAACAGCCTTATTGAGCTTTTGTATTAAAAAGAAAAAAATAATCATTAAAATAGATTTTTAACACCAAGAACAATGCAATAATGAATTCTAAAATGTATTATTTGCTCATTTAAAATACTTCTAAGGAATTACTCATAAAAATGTCTTTACTGTTGCTATGTGAAGCATTGATAAGCAGTTCAAAATCAGTGCCAACTAAGAAATCCGTGAATAAAATTATATAAAGATGGTCCTTTTGTTTGTAGATGTGATATACTTAATGTCTAGAAACGCTGGGAAGTCTGAAAGGACCATAAATCTTAATTCAAGTTTTTCTTGCTTTTCCCATTTTTTCTTCAAAAAATCTTGCATTGAAATGCTCATCTGTGTTCACTTCTCCTAGTGAATCATCTGAGATTGTAAACTTTTCCTAAAGGTCCAATACCTTTCCGTCTACCCCATAAATTACAGCTCTCTTGTAACGAGCTAGTGTGATAATGGAGACTCAGTGGCAATGCAGTGTATTTTAATAGACAAATTACTCTAAATTAAGCTCTAACCATCTGTTCCATTCTCATTTATGACCCTAAAATGAATATATTTTAAAATGATATCATTTAAAAATAATGTAAATGATTGAAGTCTGCAGTAAGGCTTCTGCATATTTGTTCATTCAGTGTAGCAAACTTATGGTAATAGTGATGTTTCTTCCTTGCTCCAGGCATGTATGAAAGAGAAAGTGGTTAATGCTTGATACAATAAATTTGCAGTTATTATGACGCATTAAGTATGTCAAAAAAGATATTTTACTCCTAGAGAGTTACACTAAATGTAAATCTCTGTATTGGAGCATCCTGATGGGATACCTGGAGGCAAAGCTTTAGCTAATTCTACAGCTTGTAGGGGGTTAAGGATATCAGAGACATTAAATGCTGACAACTGTAGTTTTAATATGCTGGGGAAATGGAGCTGTTCCATATCACTTTCTGTATTTGTTAACAGTTATGCCACCACCAGGGATCTCACCAGGATTTATAGAGAAAGAACATGCTGATAGCTATTTAGAGGCAAAACAGTAATATTAATTTTTTTCCTCCTGCAGACTCATACAGTAGTAAATTGTGCTACAGATTGATGGAGAAAAGAACAGAAAAGACATGGTATTTATAAAGGATGTGGCTAAAAGTCCACGTAAATCCCTTTTCCTTCCATTGCTTCTCTGCTCTTTACGTTCCCTCCATGTTTAAAAACATTGCATTAAGTACTTACATTGATCTCATAAATGAGGTAACCTTATTAATGTTGATTTTTGACTTCAAAATTAGCATCGGCAGTCTAAGAATATTTATCTCTGACTCGATATGACTGTGTCATTTGACTGGGAGGCCACCTGTAGAAGGGGCTCAGACAAGTATTAATGACCATGCAGAAACACCTCTCCTGCAAGATTGGGCAGGTTTCTGATCTCACTAAAACATAAAACAAGATCATCTGAAGCCAAGAACTAAATCTGACCTGCAGATTTTCATCACATTCAGCTAACAGCATCAATCGCACCAGTTTGCAATTTAAAATGTAGCAATTTTGCTTGGGCTAAATAATCAGGCTGCCTCTAAAGACAGTGAAGAGTGTAATGGGATTGTTTCTTCTTTGTGTTTTTAAACAGGATGAATTTCCTTTCGGAAGTGTCACTGTATATGGAGACAGCCCATTTGACTGAGGCCAGATGCTATGCTGTTAGATATCTAAAGTTCGACAAGAAGAACGCCAAAGTTAGCATTTACTCATAGCATTCCATTTAACGTCTCCTTTTCAATCATTTATAGAATGACATGAGTGACTATAAAGGGAACATCTGCTGATGGCTTTAAGAGGTATTAAGTTTGGAATGACTAATTTAGTCATATAATTAACAGAAATACGGTTTGTTTGGCAGAATAGGAAAAACACACTATAGAGAAACTGATGATAATTGTGAAGGCCAGTAATAGAAATCAAAATGTATCACTTTAGTACATTGCTTGTCTGAGTCTGTCATTCTAAAGTAAGTGCCTCTTAAAACCAGATGCTCCCTCTGCAATATTTGATGTGTGTTTATAATGAATGGACAAAGGAGATATTACATCTTTTGCTATCGCTAAGCACCAAGGTCAAATTTAGTAAGTAAGCAATGGGTTCAGAGTTTAAATTATATACAAAATAATTCTGTTTAATTCCTGAAAAAATGTGTCTGCCTTTTGGGGATTTTCTAGACGATGGCATTTTAAAATTTTTCATCTTTTTTTCATTTGTTAGGAAATATAAATTTTAAAGCATGCTTGTTTTTTTAACCTTGTAAATATTCAGAGCATAATTCAGACCTCTGTTTTGGCTGAGGGTATCCTGGAAGGATAATAATAGGATGCATGTGGCTGGTTTTCACACTGTAGCATAATGAAACTAACAAAGATGTTCCTTCTCTAGAATATTAATCACTGGAGTTAGAAGATACATTAATACAGGACAAGAATTTATTTATTCTATCTAGATAAAACTTATTGACGTTTCATTATTCAAACTATTAAAATTTTTGTTTCCAGTGTTTAAGGAATTTATTATTTTCCAGTTGCTTTTTTATTGTTTAATACACTATTGAATTCCATTCTATTCAAATTTATAAACTACCATTGTAACACTGAGCTCTTTCCAGTACACAGTTAAGAGCTGTGGTTATCTCTGTTTATCTGTGGCTCATTCTTTTCCATTTTCCACCCCAGTGTTTGTAGTGCTTTATTTTGTCATGCCTTTAAGAGTTAATTTATTACATGTTTTAATTAGGAAAATATGTCAAGAAGTTTATCTTGTATTTAGAAAAAGAAAGGCAGAAAACGCTCCCTCCCCTCAATTTTCACAACTCCCCTATAGATTTTTTTTTTTTCCTCTGTTATTTTCACTTCGCAAATCAACTTTTTGTTCAGTCTCGCAGAACTCCCACTTTTGGTGGATTTCTGACTGTCTGGTACTGTTCCACTCATCCCAGGAGGAATGAATTCATGAGCAGAGCAAAGGTGAGGAGTTGAGAGTTCATGATACTAAGTGTTCTTATATTATTCCATAATCTATACTGTGGATATTACTGCTATCTAGATGGACTTTTTTTTTGTATACATGTGTATATATCCTAAAGAATTACATGGCAGAATTCTTCCTTTGTGGGAGCTAAACTTCTGCTTACATAGTTCTTTATCACAGAGGCTTTCCTGGTAAAAAGAAGACTGATCAGAAAAGCTCATTGAAAATGGAGAAAATGGAAATTGGATATTTTCAGAATTACTGAAAAGTCATTATTTTCTTTTCTAGAATTTGGTTCACTAACTATATAATCATATACATATATATATATATAAAATTTGGCTTAACTGTATAACTGAATGTGTATTTTTTCTTTAGTGAAAATTTTTTACTAAAAACCAAGTCTTATTTTCTTCCTGTCTAAATTTTCCATTCATATTTAGGAGGTGATAAGTTTGGGGCCATAGTGCCTATTAGTGTTCTTTTCAATGCCCTCTGAGAGCTCAAGCTAAGAAAAGAAGCCAAAGCTGCAGCTGCAGCAGCAATCATGCACTTTTTTTAATGAGAAACATCTTGCTGTTTTCCCCTTGCCCACAATAAAATTTTGCATAAGATGAAAATACCACGTCATGTTGCAATTAGGTCACAACCTTGTAACATTTAATTTTGTGGAGATAAAATTAAATACAGGTATAGCAGATTTTCCCTAGATTTTGGTTTTTGCACATATTACTGCACATGTATGTAGTACTGTGCATTCAGAAGGAAAAATATCATCTTTCTTTTCTGTAAGTTCGGGTTTTGTTCTTCAGTTTTATGCTAATATTTTTAATTGATAGCAATTATATGCACAGACATCATCGTGATATGCATTTCATGTCATACTTTTATAAAAACAAAGCTTAGATACAGTGTGGTGGCATGTCAGCTTCATGCATTTCAGTTTTATTAATTCTAACATTTGTCCATTGAAGGGGTAATGATTTATTGTGTGTGGAAATTCCACAATACCCTTTTTTGCTTTGACAGCTGTATTTATTTCAGTGAGTTAATTAATGGGAATCACAGTTTTTAAGATTATTTTCTGATATGTTGACAAAATCCAAAGAAACAGCTGAGAACCATGCACTTTCGTTTCAAGAAGAAATATGGTTTCTTTCCTTTCTTTCCCTCCTGTTCAGGTATAAAATACAGGGATTGTCCATTGGAAAGAAGAATCAATCCATGCAAATCTTTCAATTTCACTTTAAAAATCCATCTTTGCAGTAGTTCCTTTTTAGGATTTGTCTGTAATATTACAAAATTAAAAAGAAAACTAAAACAGTGGAAGGAAAAATAATTCTATTATTTTCTTAGTTATCTGAACTACTTCTCACAATAAGTTAAGCAATGCGATTAAAGCAGTTCATTTTCTTACATAAATTCTTTTATACAGCAATCTATGGTCTGAGGTGTAGGAATATTTAATCTAGCAGCTAAAGGCATAACAAGATATTATTGTGGCTGAAAGCAGAAGTCAGAAGCATTTAAACTGGTAATTAAATGCAACTTTCAAAACCAGGATGAATATGACCTTATTTTTGAGCATTTCCCTATGTTGAGGACAGCTCATAACTGACATTTCTTTTCATGGAAAGTGACAATTTCATTGTCATTTGGAATCTTGAAATCAAAATTAGATGTCTTTCAGGGTAATGTTCTGTAGCCCAGTCAAAAATTAAGCCTGATAATGTTTATTTATGGCAAAAGGAAAAAATAATAGTTTCCCAATATGAAATAACAAGAAATTCTTTAGTTCTTGTTATTTAGAAGTTGGATAATATGATTGTAGTGGTTTCTTTTCATCTTAACAGTCTGTCGATCTACAAAATTTGTTGAACTAATACACCATGAGTATAAGCAGGAGATAGAACATTTTGAAATGAAAGATGACATTAGTGAGGCAGTCTGATTTAGCAATTAGCGCATGGATTCACAAGTCAGAAATTCTACATTCTATTCCCATATCTGACATTGATTAGCAAGTCACATTAGGACTTATTATCAAAAGTCAGATATGCAGCTGATCATCTAATTAAGATCATCATGGTATTAGCATAACTGCATTTGCAAATCATGCATGCAGAGCTTTAGCCTTTGTTTAACCTTGATCTGTGATATGAAAGCAATCTATGTTACAGATTGATTCAACCCTCTTATTCCATGATTTGAAAAGCGCACAATTTTTAATGTTTGTCCTCATCAGATGCTGTCGAACTATTATTATTTATCTTTATTTTAAGAAAGTGGAACTGCAATGCAGAAATATAAGTATCTGATTTCCAAAGATACTTGGGTATTTAAAGATGCAGATAACCATTTAATGAAATTTTCATAAGTCAAAAAGAAGATCTCATCCTTCAGTGTTATATACATTTTAATAACATTCTAAATTACTTTTGAATTTGTTTCTGCATCTTGTGAGGGTCTATGAGGTCAAATACCAGTCGAAAACTGGGTCCACAGTAGCAAGTAGCACAAAACAATGCAAGCAGATTAATAAAATAAACAGTCTTTACTAAAGATCTGTCTTCCACACATTTCAGGAGGCTTTAATGCTGGCCTAGTCATGCTGTGGACTGAATGATCGTGAAAGCTCACCTTCTACTCACTTTCATTCCCAAATCCAGTTTTTGTCAGGATCCAAGACCAGTCCATAATATGTATGAAAGCATTACGAAATGGGACTGATGAGGCAATTTGCTTCAAAAGGTGACACCTGCACTGAAATGTTGATGTAGGCTCATTTAGTGATTCTTTGAAAAAAACCCTAGCTAAAAAGTGTATAAGTAATTACATTTCTCTCTGTAGAGGTTGAGAGTATCGATAGTCTTGCTTGAAAAGTTAGTATTAGTAAGCAGATTTGGTCATCTGGAAAGTATGGTTAAATTGTTTTGAAGTAGCTCACCGAAAAGCTGGACAGAAACAGTTAAAACTAACTTGAGATGGGGTATATTTCATTCGAGTGGAAGGTGAGCCAACTCACCAAAACAAAATACTTAGCACCTGTCCAACTTTGAAAATATTGCTGTATTCTGGGATTATTTTAATAAACATTCTGACTCTTGGACATATTTATGAGAGAAAGCAATAATTTTCCATCCACTGGAAATAATTTTCCATCCACTGCACTGCTTTCACATTTTCATGAATTTTCCATGTGGTAAAAAATTGAAAGAAATGTCTCATTTCTGTGTTAGTGAGTACATGAGTAAAATGAAAAACATTTATGAAATTAAACACACTTTCATGTGATAAGATGAAAGAGAGATTAAAATTTTGAAGAACAAATATAATTGAGAGTTTCAGCCAGGTAAACCTTTCAAAGATCTGGAATTGCTAAATCTTCTAACTGCTGTGTCATTCCTTTGAATGAGTTTATTTTGTCACTCTTACATTTTCCAGAGAAATATTATGGACATATGAGAGGTTCTCTGGGAACTGATATTTCTAACCTAAATAATTTATTTTTTTCCAGAAGATCTTTCATCTTTATACATATGAAAATAAAATCCCAAAGTGAAAGAGCCCGTGTGGTAGCTACAGAGGTACAAGATTTTCTAAGCTGTCTAGATTTCTTCCCTTTTTTCTTGTGCTTTGGTAATGCTGACCCTTAAGCAATAAATACACATGAGCATTACTCAAGAGAGGTCAGCAGAAGAATGCTGGAAAAGAAAAAGAAGGTTCATTGTTGCCCTAATAGTCTTTTCATGGCCTTAAATATTACATCAGAGTTAAAAATACAGGGTACAAACAACAGATACTGAAAACACCCAGCTGAATTGAGTAGGGTCAGAGTTTAGTAACACAACATGAAAAATCTCTACAGACCAAAAAATTACTTCTTTGTATCTTTCTGTATTTATGTATGCGTTTATTTTCTAAGACCTCAGGTATAAGGTGGCTACAGTAAGTTTCTAGTATTTTCTTGGCATGTTCCCCAGTAAAAAATCCTAATCCACATCCTTTCTCTATCTTAGTGTCTGAGGGAAAGTTAAAGCCTTGATGATTTGTACCAAATACTATGGATTGCTCAAGAGAGTCTTCTGTCATTCTAGAAAATTAAGCTACTTCTAGAGATTTTCCTGATGTTACTGCCAAAAGGACTTGTGATATCCTAAAAGGTCCCTTCAGAGTCTGCTAGTCTGATGGATAAATTAAAGCAGGTAGACTTATGAAAGTATATTACTCCTCTTTTCTTCCCAGTGTTGTATATGTAGAGCAGTTCCTCTGTCTTTTTAGTGTAATTACTACTGTGCTTATATCATCCATTTACACTACTAGTACAGCTTTTCAGGTAATTTATAAGGTCCAAATCTAACGCTCCACATTGTCCTGTCTAAGAAAATATATTTGACTAATACATATAATTTTCTTTTTTTAATTGGTGAGAATACTCATTATAAAATTAACAAAAGTAAACAATATTTCCCAGAAATTATTGTCACAGTGTCTCTTCCCCACCAGTTTTAAATTTGTGAAAGCTTCCAGATTTGGGAGCAAGATTCAGTTTTTTAAGATCATGGTTTTCCAATTTGTTAGCCAAATTGCCTCTTCTGCTATGCAGAAAAGAGGATCTCTAAACATGTTGCAATGGAAGGCTATTTATAAACAACAAGGCTTCCTAGTCTGCTTATCTACATACCTGTAATCATGGATGCAATTTTAAAATTAGAATTTGTAACATATATTTTTTATTCTATAAAGATACCTTTAATAATAATATATAATAATGCAATATATTTTGCAATAACTAATAATACATTAATTTTGATTTATTATTTAATTTTGATTTATTATTTTTTCATTATAATATTTTTAATAAGAATATGTTTAATAATGTGGGGTTTGCACACATAATTTTTGTGTTCTTCTACCACAGACTTCTTTCTTAGTTTATCTAAAGAAACTCTGTGTCCCTTTTCTGAGTACTAACAAGTGGGTATAAAAGGTGGGACGTAGTCTGTGTTCTCCAGTCTGGTCTCTGAAACCTCTATCTTGGATTCTCCTTGTGAAATGAGAATACTGGGAAGTGAAATGAAGATGTCTACAGGTCTTAAAAACATCTATATTGTTATTACTACTTTTCTATGCAGCTTATGAATAGCTGTTATAATGCAAAAGTTAGAGTTGGGAATCTGTTTCATTAAAGGCTGGTACAACCTGACATATATCCTAAACGCTATCAGTGGTTTCATAATGTAAGTACCATACTGGGGTTTAGTGAAAAATGGCATATGCAAAGTCTCTATAGAAAAATACATTGATCCTTGACGTTTTGGGCATAAACTACTTGGTGCCTGCCAAGATATTTGTTACCACAGGTAAAAAAAAAATTGGAGTGGAATGGATTTACAAGGTAGCTTCAGAAAGAATTTGCAATATATCTAAAGGAAACAGCAAGGAAAGAGCTTTTCTATGAGAGAATGCAATGAATACTAGATGAATCTAATTTGTCTGTTGAGCTTACAGACATACACACATAGTGTATGTCTGCAGTGGTAATGTCTTTCATGTTTAAGCAAAATTGAAGCCACTAAATGGCAGAAACCAGGGCTTGGAATTCCTCAGTTTTGTGTAGTTTATTCTAACTGATGGAGTTTATGAAATCTGACTGTCAATGCTGTTGAAGAGAAAAGCTTACAGAAAAGGTCAGGTACAGTTATGGGAAAGCCATTGTGTTACCAAAAGGGTTCACTGCCTATTTCTTGTTTATTTTCTTCCCTAGCATCCAGCAGTGGCACATCCCAGAAACTATTCCCTGTTCAGGTGAGGACTTCAACTCATAGTAATGTCTTGTGCCTGCAGAAACCTACATTCAGTAATAATGAACTCTTTCCCTGAGTTTTGCTGAAGTGGAAGCTTTCTAATGTTAATCTTTGGTTTTTGTCTGCACAGATAGGAATCAATCTTGTACTTTATTATTTTAGGAGGCAGTCAGAGGCCATGCCAGCAGGTATCAGTGTTAGACTCTGGACAGATAATTATTTGACAACATCTTTGAGAAGCGACTAGCAAGGTCAGACAAAGAGGTAGACACACTTTAATTATTTGGTAAGATCTATCCATCTGCACTTTCCTCTATTGCATAATACAAGTAAATTCATATCATCTGCATTCTGGACTATGCGGGTGTAATTCAGCCTCTGAAAGAGAAGCAGTAAGCCTGAACCATTCTGGCTCATACAACTGCATCTTCTCCTCCCAGAAACCGGAGCCTCAGGAGAGTTGATGCATCTAGGTCTTACCTGACATAGGAAAATGAACAGGGTGCACATATGAGCCTGAAAACTGGGAAAGCCTTTGCAGTTTAGATGGAGGCACTATAGAGTGCCTCCAATTCCTACTGCTTTTTGCCCTCATGCCAGCCGACAAAACTGAGTTTTTGTTCATGGTTTGGTCTCTATTTTATTGTGGTTGGGGTTTTTTTCTTCTCATTTGGTTTGAAAGGGTCTGACAGAATAGGCTGCCTCTGATTTTCCTGGCTGCAACAGTCTGTGTCAGGTGGAGAGAGGGGAGGAAAAGGAGGAGATTACAAGTCTAAATGCAGACTGAAAGACTCCTGACAAAGCACATGGCTTGCTTGCTGCAAAGGAGCAGATCTACAGCCAAGCCTCAGAGGTCAAGAAGAGGATACATTCCTAGAGACCCAGAGGGAGACTATGTGAAGGTTGCTGCAACCCAGGAAGGCAGTGCAAATTGCTGGACTCCAGAGCATCTGGAAGGAGAGGCTTATTCTGAAAGGAAATAGAAAACAGGGGGAAGATTTGTTTTAAAACATGTTATTTGTCTGCATTATCCGGAAGATCTGCATTTGCTCTACTTTAAGAGGTTGTCTGTGCTCAAAGAAAACAAATATTAGAATTACTTTAGTGTTTTGCGTTATGCTCATTCTACAGATAAGATTAGTTAGTACTACCCCAAGGCTAAGACCTCCTCAGAGTCACATCAAAAACTCATAAAGGCAAATGTTTATATATGTGCTTTCTGGGATGGAGGGCCCCTCTTCCTTACTTGGAAATGACTACAGAAATATTAGTCAGTTATCCTTACTGCAATTTGTTTGGCCAGTCCTGCTGGTAGAAGGAGACAAGTAGCAACTACAATGGACTGGAAACCATATCAAAATAAGCTTGCTGTTTAGACTCTTGAAGTTGGTGGCAAAAAGTAGTCTCTAGTTAGTACAAGAGATTTAACAGCATACTCTCTGTTTGCTCATTTTTTGCCTGCTTTTCTATGTCTAGATGCTAAAATAAAGCAGTTCAGTTTTCAAAGAAAGCACTTATCATAAAATACACACTACAAACAAATATTTCTATCCCTTTTAAGAACTTGCATATTTATAAAATCTCTAGTTCAACATTACAAATTCATAGACATGTGGGCCCCCATACAGTCAGTCAAGTTCTCTGCTGTCCTATACCCTCAAGCAATCCTAGTGCAATCCAGGAAAACAAATGCCTAAGCTATAGTTCCAGACTATCAACAAAAGACATTGGTCGCTCTGTAAATGCATTATGCAATTTTCTTTTTTTTAACCCTCTTCCTTTCCTGTTTTGGGACAATTGGCAGTGTTACTGAACATGAACTGAAATCCAAATGTCCCATGCTTTGTAGAAGCATTGTAATCTAAATCCTATCTGCGTCATCTTCATTGAGCAAATCTGCCCATATTTTGCTTTGTTAATATCACCTACATTACACTAGCTAGCTGAAATATTAATGGATTGGTGTAAGAGACTAGTGGTTGGCAATAAGTATAATTTTTCATTGTGTGAATTGCCATATTTAATGGTACTTTGTGGAGGTATCCAGCAAAGAAAGTATGTAAGTAATTTGATACTGTGAAATGGTGGCATCCCTGTGATAGGGGCTTGAGGTTTGTGGTATAACATGTGCAGATTTACCTTCCAGAATTACTGTGCAGTTCACAGTAGATTTTACAAACTGTTGCTTTCAGAAATATGTTATTATTGTAAGGAAGAGGGCAGGGCAAGCACCATTGTCATCGTTGTCAGTATTTGTAAAAGCAACTTCTCATGCTAAGAATGAGAAAAGTTCTACTTACCTGCAGATGCAATGACATGACTGTATTTATATCAGTTTTTGTAACACTGGGATAATTATTAAAGGACAAATATTGGTATTGTTGCTGGGGGTAATCCAAAGTTTGGCAGATTGATGCTTCTGAGAATTCTTTCACTGTCAAGTAGTAAGCTGCTTACACAATCTAATTTGCCAGAAGTTACTTAGCCAAGAGAAGTGTCAAAATCACTATTAAGATAAAGACATCTGCTTCTGCATCAGAACAGCAGGGAAAGCAAATGCTGATGAAGTTTTAAAAACAGCGAGCATGAAAAGTAGGGGATGCAACAGAAATGTGTTAAGCAGAGTATTGGTGCTATCAAGGGCTTGTTAAAAGAAGTCCCAGAGAAAGACTTCAGGGCTTCCAGAAAAGGCAGAGAATCCATGTGTGAAAAAAGGCAAAAGCCATTTCTTTATATCATACTACACTGTGCTACATAAATGTGTATATATATATATACATATAGCACTTGATAAAATAGAGTACTATTGGCAAATTTGACGGCAGTACTGCATCAGGTGTTGCAAGGCCAGCAGACTGAGGGAAGTTCTTACACCCTATACTCACCGCTTGTGAGGCCACACTGAATACTGTATTCTGAGATTCCCAACTCAAGAGGGATATTGAAAGACTGGAGAGCATCCAGTGGAGGGCTATCAAGACAAGCTAGACTAAAGTACACTGTATGAGGAGAGGCTGAGGGATCTGAGTTCATTCTGTCTAGTGAAGAGGAAGTCCAGGGAAATATAATAGAGGCTTGCAATCACTTGAAGCACTGGAATGAGTTCCCCAAGGAGGTTGTGAATGCTCCATCTCTGTCAGTGTTCAAGGCCAGGTTGGATGGAGTCTTGGGTGATTCGGTTTAGTGCAAGGTGTCCCTGCCCATGGCAGGAGGGTTGGAACTGAATGATCTTAAGGTCCTTTCCAACCCTAACTATCCTATGGTTCCTCTCAAAGACAGCATAGCCAAATTTTGCTCACTAATGGCAGATGAAATATTAAGGGACAATAGCCACAGATTGCAGTTCAAATTGCTGAGGAGGAAAGACTTTTCCACAAGGAGTGTGGTGCAGCACTGGAACTGGTTACCCATGGAGGTGGTGGAAATCTCCACCCTTGGTGCTTTTTGTGACTCAGCCAGACAAAGGCAGAGCTGGCCTGACCTAGTTAGGTGACAGCTGTGCTTTGAAGGAGAGGTTGAACACGACATCTCCAGAACTCCCTTCTAACTGGTGTTTCTATGATTTGATAAAATAAATAGAATAAATATTGTTTACAAAATATTTAGGAATAGATCTAATCATCACAGAATATTTGGCCCATTATATAGATGAGTAAATCGATACTTTTAAATTTCTGGTTTTGTTTGTTCTGGCTTTTTCTGTTATAGCAACTCTAGAGACTATTAGAAATGTGACATATTGTAGTTATAGGGCTATTACTGCTCATATGGCAAGCTAAATGTGGGTCTGGGAAAGAGAAGAATGTAAATGATCACAGAAGTCTTTCCCAGGTTCTGTGCTTATTTACTCTGAGTTTTAGTGGAAACTTTTTAATCTAATAATGTATTTTGTTCCTGATGACAAAATGTTGTCCAAACATCAGCTAGAACAGTTTCTCAGAACCCGTAAGTGATAATATATTCAGTAAGCTGCATTGAAACTTTGAAGAACAGGTTCGAACAAGAAGTGAAGAACAATATCTCTTCTTAATTGAATCTGCAAACAGAATTCAAGGGGGTTAATTAAAATGTGGTCTGGGCAATGGCTTTTCTATTGACAAAAGAAATTAAAATATAGGCTTTACATCTTTATAAAGAATAGGTCAGAATCTGATTACATTCACATTGACATAACTGTGGAGTGTTTCTGTTGATGCTAATTCATATTTATATCGGAGCTTCAGAATTAAAAATCCATTCAAGCATTTCTAGCAATACAGTGCCTCCTAGCATGATACTTGACATTGATTTAGTTTTAGAAGTAAAAGGAGTAAACGAGCAGTACAGCTTCCTGAAATTAAAACTGATACCAATTTATCCTTAATTTGCAGTTAACGCAGAACTTAATGGAGAAAACTTAAATTTGTCATTGCTTTGAGTTCACTTTTTCACTGTAATAATTGATAAATAAGATTCATACTCAGGCACTTATTAATAATGCAGGGATTTGAAACAACAGTAACAATTACAAGAAACTATATAAACCATTATTTAAAAAGCAGCTTTCTTCAGTTTCAAATAGCTAATTTTTTTCTTTATATAATGTCACTTTTAGCAATACTGGCAAGAATACTCATTTAGAAGAAATTTGTTCTTACAGTTCACATTCCCCTGAGTTTTGCTGAGAAGCAGAGGGTGAATTTAACATTTTTTTCAATTGTTACTTCTGGAGAAGAGCAACTGTTTTGTTGTAGACAAGAGATACCAGCCTGTAGTTGGAAAACAATAATGTCTTATATTTAATAGTCTTGTTTCCTCTGCTGTATATTACTTTTAAGACCTTTTGTGCTCTTGGGTATGTATGTCATGAAAGCTACTGATTCTTTTTCTGCTCTCAGGGTTGGTAATTTTGTCTAAAGTTTCTTCCTGTGCATTGGGGCATGTTTACAGCCAAGTTACAAAACAATTATTTCCATATGCAGCACAATGTCTCTATGATAACTTCCCAGTTCCAAATGTTTTAGATCATAGAATCATAGAATGGTTTGGGTTGGAAAGGGCCTTAACATTCCAACCCCTCTGCCATGGGCAGGGACTTCTCACACTAGACCATGTCACCCAAAGCTCTGTCCAACTTTGGGCATTAAGTGAGAATGGCTATTTGATTCCTTCAGCATAATGATAGGAATATTCTTTATTAAGAATATCCATTTTCTAAGGGTTTACTTCACAACTGTTATAAAAGACTGTAAAAAAACCCTAGTAATATTACTTGTTCTGAGGAGGGTCACAGAAGACTTGAACAAGTTTCCCATAATAAACTTTGTAGGCATGCATTTATTTCTGTACCGAATTAGTAGTGTTTCATCCAGAGATCCTCCACAAGCACACAAACACCTCTGTGGAAGCTGCTGTCGCTGATCAGTGTGCAGGGATGGCTGCACGGAGCTTTCCTCAAAACTCAAAAGAAGCAGCTGTGTTTACATTACCCTGTTTCTGAATTTATATATCCCATTTCTCTGTCAGTTAATTAACTCCAGGTTCACCATGTTAATTTAACTTTAGTGGCTTGATTTTGGAGAGGTATTCCTTGGTGCTAACTCAGGGAATTCTACACTGAATTCCGTTGTGCGGCATATTCGTGTCATCCACAGATATCAGTCCTACATCCCCCTCCTTTGTAAACCTTAATTTTGCAATTACATTCCTGGTATTACTTATGAAAGAGAAATCCCCTATGTGGAGAGAACCTGTGAGGTTATTAGGCAAGTGAATTTTCTTTTTAATGATACATGAAGCATTGGAATGAGGTCAGAAACAAATTTTCTTCATAATATAAGATCATGGGATACTTCAGGTTACAAGGGACCTCAGGAGGTCTCTAGTCCAATCTCCTACTCAAAGCAGAGTCAGTTTTGAGATTAGATCAGGTTGCTCACGGCTTTATCCAGTCTTGTTTTAAAGCTTCCAAGGAGGAGACTGCACTGCATCTTTGGGCCAACTGCTCCACCACTTGACTGTTGTGGTGGAAAAGTTTTTTCCTTATATTCAGTTTGAACCTATCTTGCTTCAAGTTGTGCTCACTGCACTTAGTACTCCAGTGTTACCCTTAAATCTTCATTGATTCCTTACCTGTACCGGGGCAGGGAGAAGATACTGTGCTATGATGTCAAAAGATGGATCTTTTACAGAATTAGAGCAATGTGCAGACTGTTATATATAGAATCATACAATCTTAGAATGGTTAGGGTTGGAAAGTACCTTAAAATTATCCAGTTCCAACTCCCCTCACAGGGGCAGGGACACCTCACACTAGACCATGTCACCCAAGGTCCTATGGATGACTTCACCGAAAAGATCAACTAATATTTTTACAGTACCTCGTTATTCACATGAATTAAAGCAGTAACTCTAAAAAACTCCAAAGCTATTGTTTAATATATTTAAGACCTTT